AGTGTCAAAGGCTTTGCTCAGGTAAATACATCACTTGCTCGCCCCTCATCTGTTAATGTTGTGACCTTCTCATAGAAGGCTACTAGGTTTGTCAGGCATGATTTGCCCGTGGTGAAGCCATGCTGACTGTACCAAATCACCTCTTCACTAGCCTTCTGTCTCAGCAGTGCCTCCAGGAGAATCCGCTCCATGACCTTACCGGGCACAGAGGTGAGACTGACTGGCCTATAGTTCCCTGGTTCTTCCTTCTTACCCTTTTTGAAAATGGGGGTTATGTTTCCCCTTTTCCAGTCAGGTCTTCTCTAGCTACAGCCACTACAGTGATCACTGTGTAAATATGACACTTCCTCTGCTTATCAAAAGTGTTGGATGCCTATATGTACCAAGGCATTGTAAGAAGTTGCTGATACTCCAAAGGGTTACACTGCTATCCAGAGAGAATTTGACAGGTTGAAGATAGGCTGACAAGAACAACATGAACCTGAACAAGGGAACTGCAAAGACGTTCACCTGGAGAGGAACAGCTACGGGCAGTGATATATGCTGGGGGCCATCCAACTGCAAAGCAGTTTGCTAGGAGAAGACCTGAGGGTCCTGGTGGACATAAGGCTGAGAATGAGCAATCAATGTGCCTGTGGTGCAAAAAAAGCTGCTTTTGTCCTGGGCTGCATTAGGAGGTTGTGGTGTTGCCAGCAGGTTGAGGGAGGTGGACCTTCCCTCCCTTTTATCTCAGGTGAGGCCATGCTTGGACAATTCCAAGTTCTGGGCTCCCCATTACAAAAGGAAAGTAGAAATGCTGGAGAGAGTCCAATGAAGGACCATAGAGATGATTAAGGGACTGAAGCAACTCTCCTATAAGGAAAGGCAGGGAGAGACGAAACTGTGGAGCCTGAAACAGTTTATCTATGCATATAAATACCTGAAGGGAGGATAAAAACAACTGAGACCAGCTCTTTCCTGTGGTGCCCAGGGACAGGACAACAGGCAGCAGGCACAAAGTAACACATGGAATTTTCTTCCTGAACAACAGGAAACACTTTTTCATCGTGGAGGGTGACCAAGCACTGGCATAGGTTGCCCAGAGAGACTGTAGAGCCTCCATACTTGGAGATATTTGAAAATTGTCTGTACATGATCCTGGGCAATGGGCTTTTGGTGGCCCTGCTTGAGCAGAGACATTAAAGAAGGTGACCAGTAGACATCTCTTCCAACCTTGGCCACTCAGTGTGTTGTGATTTCGTGATTTCTAACACTGTGAAAATTCATACTGTTTGCTGCTGATGTTGTTGAGATGCTGAAAACCACATCTACTTCAGTGGATACTTTAGGTACACTGATCACTGAGTTACCTGAAAAAAAAGCACCAGCACATGTATTTGGAGAAAAAAGTGCACTTTTTTGCTTTTCCTTGTAGGTGAGACCTAGTCTTTCGAAAGCGCAGAACAGTCTATACTACAAACTGGCATCTGCTTTTTCTCCCAGAAATTTTATCAGTTTTTACTGGTACTGCGACTTAATGGGTCAAAGAGGATCTGTCTTTATTAAGTTCCCAACACGGTCACTACCCTCCGACTGAAAATATTAGTTTAAAGAAATTATTAAGAATGTTAGAAAAGATAAGGCAAAGATAACATATCCTCTATACAGTTATAAAATTTTGGCTCCAACTGTTTTTAAACAGAGAGGAAAACATAAACCATACTTCTCTTAAATAAGTGCTGTTATTTCATCCCTATATCACAAAACTCATCATTCCTTTTCTAAGTGGCCTCACTATAGAAGACAAGACTGACCACCACTAGCTCCTGGTATTCTCTTACCTCACAGCTCTCTCTTTCAGAACAGAATAAAGGCCACTTTGGAGGAATGGCTAGCTGCATTTGATACAGTCTGCAGTAGTATTTAAAAAATATATTATTTTAGAAAATCTGTAGAACTCACAAATAACTTTTCCATGCTTATTTACTCCTAGCATTCAGAAGCTTAAATTTTAGATGGCTTGGTGAAATTGACTGATTATGCTCTTTTAGCCTTCTGGAAAAACCTGCATTTCTGTGCAATCCCATTCTATCACACACACATACACACACACAAAGTAGAAAGTCTTACTTTCCCTTTCTTCTTCTCTGGCTTTTTTTTTTTTTTTTTTTTTTTTTGGTTTTTGAAAGTGTTTCTTTCCCTTTCTTTTTCTCTAGCTTTTTTTTTTTTTTTTTTTTTTTTATGGTTTCGAAGCTTGGTCGCTCTGCTGAAAGTGGTGAGTTGAGAAGGTGGGTTTTATAGTTGTGATTTTTTTTTGGTTTTCACTTAGTCTATGTGACAGTTAGTAGCAAAAAGATAGGAAATAGCTTGAGAGTACAGTCTTGAAGGCCTCTGCTTGGTGTAAACCAGGCTTTAGAACATCTAACCATAACTTTAATATAGAGTCCATAGGTAAAAGAGTGGTTGAGTGGGACATCTTAAGCAATAGGTTCATCTTTTTATGCCGCAAAGACGTTTTCAAGCAGATATTCTGCCAAAATTGATTTCCAGTCTAAGAAGTCCAGTGATGTCCATGATGTAATTAAAGAGATAGACTACCTAAGGAAAGAATTTAGAAGCAGAACCAGAGACTCGCACTTAGAGGTCTGCTCTCTGATCAGTAGAAAAGAATGCCAAGAAAACAATTTGAGCAGCTTCAGAGTTTCTATTGAACAGGTCAAAATTATTTCTCCTGTTTTTTCAAAAAATATGAGATTTTTTACTTCAATATTATTTAGAGTACTTAGAATGGATTTTCACAGTACAGTCTGTTAACAACAGCTATGTGTCAGTAAGAGTTAAGATTAAAGTAGATTTTGTAACTTCATTTCTATTTAAGCACATCACAGGATATCCATTTTTGTCTTAAAACAAATATTTCTGGCAATATTCTACATTAACTTTTGTCTTTTTTAATGAATGCTTAGATAGGGCAGTGGAAATTTAATGTTATTGATACTTTTTGTCAAGCACTCACAGTATGAATATATTTAGCTGTTCAAAAGCATTTGACAATAAGCTTCTGCTGATAACTATGCACTAATTTGTGTTCTTTTAAGGAGATATTTCCTCAGTAATTACTTCATTAAAATTTAAAAATCCCTGGAAGGCAGACCAATAGAAGCTCTGTTAATAATAGTATCTGTTAATTTAAAAGACTTATGAGAGAAATTAACTTTGAAAGCACTTCATTTTGTGGAGAAAGATCATTATAAACTGACCTTTGTGGTTTTCTGGTTCAAATATCTTCTGGCAACTTAGGGGAATCGGAATACTAGACATTTTAAGTAGTTCAAACTCTGTGTTATGGCAAAATGCCATAACCTTGGTAGAAATAAATACCTTTAGTAGCCAGTAAAATAAAGTGCACTATGCAACATAATTAGATTTGTCTGTTTACTTACCTGGCTTATCTAACAGCCTTGACTTTTTGCAGTGGTAAGCAAGCTCCTGTTCACAGTGCTCTGCATTGTTAATTGTAGCCTGAAGCTGGTCTAGGCTGCCAGAGTACTTGAAAAACACAGTGTGGGGGTTCTCTCGATTAGCACTTTTGACTCTGGTTAGGTTGGTGTTGTTATGCTGTATAATTGTCCACGTTGTATCTTTCAAAACACATGTGAAAAGTAATAAAGAGTGGGAAGCAGTTGAATAAGGAGGTAATGGAAAGAGAATGTGTAATGAAATTAAACAAACTTTAAGGTGACTTCTTTGATCACAAAAAGTGCTTTTGGGCATATGAAACACAGACATAAATCACTGAGCAAAAATGAAAACAATTAATCATTGTTTCTATTTATAAATAGATTATTGTACCATGACTGTAACACATCTTGAGGTTGTTATGATTATTGAATAAAGAAACAGTAAATGACACCAAAATAATTGTCTGTGAAATAAGACATAGTTTACTTAGCAAACTGCAACCAAAGAATAGAAAGAAATAATGTTATTATTACTTTTCTGAGGCTTAAATTGCTTATAAAAGAACACTAAATTCTAGCAACATTACGTATATCACTATAATATGAATTAATTAATTCTGTGTAAGAAAATGACCGACAGACTTTTCCTATTATACAAAGAAGCAAAAGTAGTTTGAAAATACTGTATTTACTATAAAGCTCAGATTACATGAAGGTAAGTTATTCTAGCCATCTAAAATCAGAGAGTAGTCATTATTTGAAGTACTAATCGAAACCTGTATTTAGTCAAGGACTAAGAATCACAGCTTCCAAAGTTCAATAGAAAGTAGCTTCCAAGCACCGAATGTAAAATTAATTTATAGCAACCACTGTGGCATGCTCTTTTGACCTGGTACAGTAACATGATGAAATGCTAGTTCAAAACTAAGAGCTGCATTTCCCTAAAAAGTACTGTTAAGTTGGCTTTTAGCTTGGATACTGTTGCACAAGGAATTTAGGTACTTCATCGCATTGTTCAGATATGCCTTATGATTCACATAAATTGGGGGAATGCAAAATATTGCTGAAATATTTATTACAGAAAGAACTGAACTGTGTCTGCAAGATTTTTTTTTTTTTTAATGAATCACTAGTAAATATTCAGTACTCCAAACACAATTTCTAGAAAAAATAAGTTCTGAAGTAATGTTGTTTTAATAAAATCCTTAGCTCTAAATACACATATAATTCAAATAATTGAATAATAAACAATATATTGCACATTTGTAAAAGGTATGTGCTAAGATGTGCAGTCTGCTGTGAAACACACTTTCTTCAACATGAAGCCATTCTGCTTACACGAAGCAACAAAACAGTACAATAGTTTTCCAGCTATATTGAGGGTTCACAAGTATTCTTTCATTAAAAATGTCCTTTTAGCTTCCTACAGAAAATATGGAAATAATTTTTAATTTCAAAAGCTTACTCAACAATGCAAAACTGCACAGATTAGGAACTCAAACTGATGTGACAATACTTACATGAAGGAATTACTTTAAAAGCTAATAGAGGCCATAGGCTAAATCCTATGTATTTACTTTGAGACTAGAAAAATAATCTTCCTGTACACTGAGACACAGGAAGGATGAAACTGGCTGGCACTGTAGCACAGGAATGCACTGGTCACTCTAGCCTATAGTTTACATGCAAGGAAATGTAATATCAGACACTGCTTGGGAGTACAGAGGTTACTCCCTCCCTGCTCTTTGAAATAGAGTTTGCCTTAAATATTGGTGGCTGTCAAAGGCTCGTGTGATTCTGCTATGATTCATACTTCTGTCGAGCTCTCTCACCTATGAATGAGGAAGCACTGAGCTTATTCTGTTTCATCTTCATTTGCAAAGCCTGCAATTTTGAGGGTCAACTGCAAATCTGACCCCCATGACAAAAATATACCTCATGCTGGGGGTGGACAAGACCCCAGTTAAAGCCAGTCTGCATCAGCCAAGTTTAGATTCCTATTCATTGTTGTCTTGTGTCTTAATGGCCGATGTAGTTTGAGCAGGTATGAGAAATATTATTTTTTTCTAACTTGTAGTATTGATTATAATATCTTGGGCATTGCAATAACAGTCTTTCTAACTACTTAACAGAGTTGCGTTTTATTTCATTAGCTTCCTACAGATCACTCGTGGCAAATGTTATATGATACCTATAGAGAGGAAAGAACTCATGGTCACTTAAAGGACAATTATTCATCAGAAAACCTAAAAGAAATCTCAAGGTGAGACGCCTACTCAAAATATATTATATTTAAAAGAACCTATTTATGCAACTTTTTTATTATTACTAATCAGATTTTGGTCAAATTATAAAAATTTATTAAGGAACATAATGATCATAGTGTCAAAAAGCAGATGGCTGGAAAAAATGCAAACTTAGATTTCTTTTTGTATCTGCACAGACACAGAGACCCAAATATATCAAAAGGCTATCCTGAATATAAAAAATAAGATAAATAGGTCAGCTATCAGACTCATTGTCACATGTTCGAATTTACAAAGAAGAAGAAAAGCAGGTCACTCCAAAGTTTGATCATCTTAACTGTCAGTATGGACTGCAGGCTTTTCATTCTGAAACTGACCTCCAAGAGTAAAACCAGGGAAAGCCACCTCCCCCTGCAGCTGTCTGAACATAGAGCCCCGTCAATGTGAAAGACAAGACAGTGCTGTAAGAAATGTGGGCATCTGCCTTCCCTGCCTCTGATGGGAAAAGGGAATACCAGTCATGAGGAAACTGGGAACAAAACAAATATACAAGATTCATCCTGTCAAGCTGCATCTCAAGATGAAGAACTGATCAACGAGATGAAGAACTGATCAACGAGATTTGCTTAATGTGGCGAATAAGGAGTGACTGAGGAAAACAGCAACAGCTGTTCATAGACACACAAGGATAAATCAGAGGCTACACTGTACCTTGGAGGTTTATACCTAGTTAAAAAAAAATTGTCATCTTTCTGCCATGATTCTTTGGTCTTTTTCAGTCTCATGGGATGCTTGGCTATTTCTTTTTCAGGGCCTGTGCCAATCTCAGCTATGTCCACTGTGAGCAAGCACAGCTCACTGTAGAAGCACAAGTCAGGAGCTGACATGGTGAGACTAGTTAAATTGCACAGACTGACTGAAATGAAGATATTTCAACACCTGTTATAAGTGTCCCTTAGATTACTGTGAAAACCACTCAATGCTACTAGCTGACCTCAAGAAATTGACGTGACCACAAACAGTTTGCCGATTAACACCAAAAATTTATGATAAGGTTTCTAAGTCAAGTTCTCAACATTTATGACATACGTAAACTGAATGCAGCTATAGCTTATTCATGTAGTCTTTTAAACACTTATAACTGTAAAAATATATTTTGTGACATAAAGCAATAAAGGGTTTCTATTGTTTTATCTGGAAAACAATTCAAATAGAGACTAAGTAAGAAGAAAAGGACGCAGTGTCAAATAAAACAATAATAACTTTTAAAACGCCATTTAAATGTACACTTCATTGAAACGGCATATACTAACAGGCACAGTATACTAAAAGACAAAATCAACTAATTTGTTAAAAAGCAGACTGACAACAAATTCTGATATCTAAAACTTCTAATGATGTAAATGGTCAGGTTCAAGGTACTGGCTGCATAAGAGGAGGCAGGGTGTCTGAAACTGGGGCTGCAGGAATCCCACTAATTGCATTTGTTTTCTCCAGAAGTTCTATTTGCAGTTTGAAAAATGAAGCTTAAAGTTTATATTCCTCATAGTAAAGGCCAGTTCTGAATCACAACTTTTCAGAAGGCTACTGGGAAAAATTAATAATTTTCTAATAAAACATAACTTATATCTCATTTCCTTAAACTTCTTCAAGGAACTATAACTTCGATGAAAACAAAGCTGCTCCCCAAAAATGAACTAGTATGACATTGTCTCCATATGGAACACGTCCCATTTATGTGAAGCACAACAGGAGTGCAGTGTTAGCTTCACAGCCTGAATCCTGTTATTATTCTAATTTGTCTGCCTAATTCTTCACCCAGTATTCCGAGCTGAAGAGTCACCTTCATTTTTTTATGCATGTATACATTAAAATTACAAGCTATAGAGGATTCCTACTTCATAACTCATGTTTCAATATAATAAGCATGCATACAGACCCAGCTGTGAGTTAAGGAAGTTTATCACCTCACCTGTCATATTACAGTAAACAAGAAATGGTCCCAAGGGGCCACTTCCATCTGAATCAATATTGTAAAAGCCTGAAGTGTTCCCTCTGTGCTTATAGGCTTCACATGTCTGCTCATAGATGGCTGTAAAAGAACACATTCCATCAGAAACATTATGGTATAATATTACATTTTATTCAGGGAATTAAAAAAACAGTGCATGAAGGTTGTCAATGGGGAAAAGAAGTTGTGTGTGTTTGCTGTTAAAGAATACAGAAGAAATCATGTAATCTATACTTTCATTTGAATTTTTAACGTGAATTTGGTTTTATTTATCAAGGATACAAGGGGCATCTTTAAGTGTTTTCTTCCTCCGTTCAAGCTGGAAATTTCAGGGGGAAACTGTGAAATGCGGGTGAATAAATGGTTGTAAAAACAGACAAATAATGTGAATGCCAAGGGTATTACTTAGATAAGTAATCAGATTTTGATTACTACCTACCTACTAACTACCTCAACCAAATCAAACTTTTGTTGATGTTATTACACACAGCAGAAGGTAGGCAGTGTTTCTAGGTGTTCTGTCTCCTAGCATTTTTTGGCTTTCACACTTCTTATTTTCTTCCTTTTTAAAAAGAAGGGCAAATGACTTGTCAGAGAGTGCAGTAAAAGAGCTAAATAAGCAAAGACAAAATGACAGCTCCTTGGTCCTATGTCACGTATACTTTTTATCAGTCAGTGCCTAAAGAAAAGTCTGTGATGACCTGTAAGTTCAACTCTGTACTTAGACAGGAACCACTCATGGTGATAATGCAGCCAGATCACATTAGTCTTAATACTCCTTTAACCATTATACTGCTAACAAGCAGTCATACTATTTTTCTTTCTTCTCAAAATTTGACTCTGTGCTCAGTTAAGATCAAAACTTGAAATCAGTCTATCAGAAAGAAAGAGCCAGTAGATTCTGAAAAGGAAAAATAGTTATCAGTGTTATACAAATAAAAACATAACTCCATAATCATTATTAACATTCTGGAAGATTTGATCTACATGAATTCTGTTTAATTATTTTAAAAATATATGAAATACTAGTAAAGTACTCAAAAAAAATTGCTTTTTTTTAAAGAGAAGCTAGGTTCTGGAAGACTGTGATCTCTGCATTTTTTGTTTGATATTTACTGATATTATACAGCAATGCTTATCAAAAAAGCAGAAAATTCATTCATATTGCGTATTCTGTATAATATTGAGAATGAACAATTTATGTAATTTTCAGGTGAAATTTTATGGTTCCTTACACTTAAAAAAGTCTCAGTTAAATTTAAACTTGACAGAAGAAATTAAATTATTTATTATTTTATGAACATGGTAGTTTGTATACCAGTGTTCTAAAACTGGTAACTTATTTCTAGGTTTGTAACAAAAAGAATGTTTCTTTGAGAATTCAAGGGACATTTTTTTTTCCTTTGAATTTATACAGAAGTGTGATAACATAGGCAAAATTTATTTTAGGTTCCTGATTTGGAATCGTTATTAAGATCACTAATATCAAGTACTAAGTATTTCTTTTTATATGCATAGGTATAGCATTTTCTTAATCATAAACAAACATCCTCATTATATGTATTTTTACAGTTAATAGGAATGCAATAAGTCTTCATATTACATCATCATTACATTTCTCCTGGAGTCCTAATTATTAGGAAACCATGGCCTCCGTTTGCCCTCATATATACATCACCATCTGATTCAACATACGATTTTTCAGATTTATAATGAAGCAAATCACCTTCATCTTCACTTTGGGGTTATCACAGTGCAAAAACATTCGTTATAGTCATCCTTTTTTTGTTACACATTTTTTTTTTAAAAAATTGTCATTTATGCCACTGTTTTTTTTTAAATTGAGGAATTATAGGAAAAGTCATCACTGTTTTTGACCTTGTACAAACAAGATTTAATAGGTAATCTTCTAAAATCAGTGATTTCTCAATAAATCCTATACGTGTAGACATTTGTTCTTTTCATAAGATCTGCCAAAAAGGATTCTATAGATTTTATAAGGAAAATTTATAATGATAAAATTACTAATATTTTTGTTAGGACAGTCTTTGGAATTTTTTTTTGTTTGTTTTTAATTTATCTGTCAAGTTTCATAAGAATTTCTAGTTATTAGAAGCATATCATGAAAGCCAGATTAATTATTTATTCTGCTTCCCAGGACATGCTTAAAACAGTACAAAAGTAGAGCGTCTCTTGTGAAATTAGTTGTGTGTTTCATTTACTTTGTTTTTTTGGGGTGTTTTTTTTGGGTTTGGTTTTTGCTTTGTTTTGTTTTGTTTTTTTCTGTTTCTCCTAGTCTTCTCCTTGATTCAGCAAACAACATAAACATGTGTTTAGGTAGGACTTAGCTTGTGATTACCTATGCACCTTGCATGAAAGTAGTCCTATATTCACAGGAAAAAATAAGATTATTTGTTGTGATGAATGAAGATGAATTAAGCATATTTCTAAATAATCTGTTGAGAAAGTGGTATTATATGGATGGAAGATGACATTACTGACCATCTCATGTAAATTGTGAAAAATATGAAACAGAAACTGGTAAACAGAACTACTAATGAATTTTTGCTACTACGTTTTTAATTCTAAAAGGCCTTTCCTTGACCCAGTTTATGAATATTTACATGACTGAAAAATCTTTTAGTATAAATGATCAATAAAAATATATATTTTTGTGGTGGAAAAAAACATTCAGAAATAAAAGTGTAGTCAGGAAACATCTTAGACTTACGATAGTGGCAAGTAGCTCCCTCGTAACCAGTATTGGCACAGTTGCAGTAGAAGCTGTTCCAGGACTGTGAGCACTCACCACCATGTTCACAGTAATTAGGCAAACACCTAAGAAGAAATTAAAGACCATTTTCACTTTCTTTTCCATTCATTTTCATGTCAATTGTACTTACTAAGGCATGCAAAATCGTGGAAAAGAAGTGTATTAACATGAGGGAAGTCTTCAAGTTCAGTGGGTAAGATAAGTGTATAATAACTAGAAAATATAACCTTCTCCACTATTTTTATTGCCTCTAATACATATATTAATTATGCAACAAGCCTGTGAGAACAGAAATAAAATGTAAGATATATGTGTGTTACTTATTACCATTCAACTATCTGTAATTCAACACAGATTGATAAACAAATTAAAGATTTACACGTTGAGAATTCACTGGTAAATTTTGCAGTTGATAGGCTTTCTTCAACAAGATGTGTCACACAAAGCAGCATCACAAAAGATTTCTTTCTATTATAAAAATAACAGCATTTAAAATAAAAAAAAATCACATAACAAATAAAAATGGCTATAGTAGCTGAGAGTTATTTCTTATTCTAAAATCATGGTTACTTACTTCCTATTCTAGAAAGAATAAAATACTCAGTAGGCCAGTTCTACCACGAAAGGTAAAAAAAAAAAATCAATTTTCTTTCTGGTGATATGAGCAGAAGCGTGAAAAACTTTGGTGGCTTCCTTCCAGATTTACAATGGTTAACTGAAAAGAAAATTTGCCTGTTAACAGCTTAGCAAGTCAAGACTTCCGCACTATACCCAAGTATAAAATATTGTGTGAGATGGAAAAAAAAAAGTCTTTTTAATAAACACAACTGAAAATACGTGAATATGGAGTGGCCCGCTTTACCTAATTACTTACTAGTTCTTCCCCTTAGAAATCAGTTAATATTCCAGTTGCAGTCAGTTTATGGGTATATGCATGAATGTGATACAGCTCAGAGAGTATAAAAGGGCTTTATTGTTGACATTAACTGGAAAAAAAAAAAAAAAAGAAACAGGCCTACTCATGTTCATAAGATCTTAAAATACCTTTTCATTCAGCCAAGAAATTTTAGGAGGGTATTAAATTAGGATTGTAAAGTGCAGCAGTTCATACATCTGTCCTATGAATAATTCAGAGCCTTTGTACCTTCAATCCTCCTAAGAGCCAAAGATTTTTTAACTTCCTTTCATGTTTATAAACAAGGATAAGCAAAAGTTTTCAGAGAAAGGAATAAACCAAAACAAAACAAAGTAGCAGGCAAAGTGTAGGTGAAATAAGTAAAGTGATACAGGTCACTAATTTTCAAGGTTATAAGTGACATTTCTGTAGATAATATATATCTCAACGAACACTGATTTGGAACATAAAAATACAATTTAGGAACAGGGCTTACAGTTACTTTGATATTAAATACTTTGCTGAAGGGATTGTATAAATATGTATAGTAATAATTCTTAACATAAATGTTTAATTTTACTTTCTACAGGTATAACTAGTCATCAGCTATTATTAATATATTTGTCCTCTAACATAACTGCCATTCAAAACTTTCAGTGCATCCTCTGACAGCTGCTATGCTTGCATGTGTTTCAGTTGTAGTTTTTCTTGTCTTACTCTTTTTTGATAAAAACATCATTATCTAAAGACATCATTATCACAAAATGGTAAACAATTTACATGGTCTTTACTTGTATTTACTCCCTGTCCATATTCATTAATCTTTCTGACAGTGTTCACAAGATGAAAAGCTTAGATGTAATTGATGATGCTTGAATCAACTTTAATAGAAGTGAAAACAATCTAAAGTATCATTTAAATCTTTTAACATTAATTTTACATCTCCCCCTTGTTTCAAAATGTATAATAAAAAGCAACCACTAGCTACATTAAAGTGAAGCTATAAGTACACACTTCAACCCCACTCAACGTAAAATCTGGAATAGCAGTTTCTCTTAAGAGTCTTCTAACAAAAATATTTCTAATATTACAAAAAGTATTTCTAATATTTCATTGGTAAAAAGTAATTTTTTAATTAATCATTGTCTGCTTAAAATAGAAAAAAAAAAAATCTTATTAAGTATTTACTGCATATTACTTGATAATGTGTTTTTGAGTCTATGACATCCAAAAATTATATACAATTTAAAACCAAGGCAGCAAGCTAATAATAATAATCATAACCTAGTATTCAAAGGGGAACAGCGATCCAGCATATGAGTGTAATTTTTGATATGGAAAAAATAAGAACTTCATACATCAATTATCTGCTTAATATGATTTTTGTGCACTATGTGCTTATTATGGTCCCAAAGTATGTCTGAAAGGTATTTCAAAGAAGAATAACTAATTGCTATGGTATTCATTAGACTAGATGTTCCTGCTCTGACAGGGGGGTTGATGCAATGATCTCTGGAGGTCCCTTCCAACCCTTAACATTCTGTGATTCTGTGATTATTTTTATTTCTCCTGATTTCAATTAAAATAAAAATAATTTTGAAAACTATCCCAATGTCTTTTTCTTTTCTTTTTCTTCTTTTCTTTCCTTTTC